AGTAGTAACCAGTAGAGTGCAAACCGAACACTGATCTATATACAGATTAGTAGTAACCAGTAGAGTGCAAACCCAACACTGATCTATATACAGATTAGTAGTAACCAGTAGAGTGCAAACCCAACACTGATCTATATACAGATTAGTAGTAACCAGTAGAGTCCAAATGACGCTCTGTCTTTAATTGCAAGTGTTCTATCATTGACGACTCAATTCTTCAATTGCATAACTAAGCTTGTTTTACCAATACACGCCCGCCAGGAGGTCAGCTTCAAGTGGAATCATATTGCCAACGTGACGTCACTAAGAGTATTGCCTGTGTTGACACATAAGAATAAAGACGAAGTGATCAGATTACTTGTATGCTGGCTTATGTACTTTTGATATTATTGAAAAGTTGTGGAATGAAAAAATAATGAATTGTTAAACAAGAGAAAAGTACTGTATGAAGTAGATTGAAATTCCAGCACTCAAGAGTACAGGTCGCGTAGCTTCTGAAAATGATTATATTTTTATATGGACATTTGTATGAATTTGCAACTTTAAAATTTCGAAAAGTGTAAAACGTACCTATTATAGATTTTAATTACTGATTTGATATCTTCTTACATTCTTTTAAAAACTTTCGTTTAAAGTTTTATTTTACAAAACTGTAATGTTTTCATTGTTTTGATTCGAAACCACCACATGCCGTTTCTTTACGGTTATTTATATACAATCAAAATAACTTTCTACCATGCCAAGACGATAAGTAAGCTGTCGTTTTAAAAAAATTGAAATCACAAGCTTTTATATAATATATGCAACAAGTCTTAAACCCGATTTATATAAATTTATATACATTTGCTTAATTTTTGTTCGGTAACTTTGTTTGCCTTTTGCAGTTATTTAGCCTTGTCTGTAAAACGGAATTTGATGTGGTCCAAAAACAACAAAAAGAAATGTTTTTCTGTCATACTGCAACATCATAGTTGAAACGAAGTATAAAATGGTGAAGCTTTTTCATGACTTCCCAATACTGACATATATGCAGGTACATAACACCATAACAATCAAGGTTGAGAAGCAGCGATTGACTAAAAAATAAATCAAACTACACTGTATTCAAGTTAAAAGGTCAAATTAGCTCTATGTTTTCTAAGACTATTATGAATATACTCCTAGGGGGTTACAAGTACCGTATTATGCCCAGACAAAATATCAGGAATTTCACAATCACTAACGATTTCATTTGGAGAATGCTGAAACCAGCACAAAATCAAAACTTATGGGTTTGTTTTATTTCTGTGTATAAAGTTAAATGAATAACTTTTTATAGAATAAATTTGCATATTTTTCTTTTACTGTATGGAAGAACGACTACAAGTTTATTTCCTATACAATTTTAATTTGATAATGCAATTTTGCTCTAGAAGTGGAATTCACTCATATTGGTGTGGTAAAATTAAAACAACTTTGAACAGGCAAATCATCAATTCACGTAACAACCGTATCCGGCATAAAGTCGCAGTGCAATAACAGGTATCATCCAACATAAGTCGCAGTGCAATAACAGGTATCATCCGACATAAAGTCGCAGTGCAATAACAGGTATCATCCGACATAAAGTCGCAGTGTAATAACAGGTATCATCCAACATAAAGTCGCAGTGTAATAACAGGTATCATCCGACATAAAGTCGCCGTGTAATAACAGGTATCATCCGACATAAAGTCGCAGTGTAATAACAGGTATCATCCGACATAAAGTCGCAGTGTAATAACAGGTATCATCCTGCATAAAGTCGCAGTGCAATAACAGGTATCATCCGACATAAAGTCGCAGTGCAAGAACAGGTATCATCCGACATAAAGTCGCAGTGTAATAACAGGTATCATCCGACATAAAGTCGCAGTGTAATAACAGGTATCAGAATTACATTTTGACATTGTTTAAAATTACGTGAGTTGTGCGATATCAACGAAAATGGAATGCTTTTGGAAAAGATGTGTAACAACTCTTTCCGACCCAAAATACTAATACTCTCAGATCATAAAGATGTGTTCAGATTGGGTAGTTGCTATTTAGAGGATTAGAATATCCAGAATATCCATTGTACTTAAAGACATTGAAAAACAAAGGAATGTGGGTCAACTTGTGAACACGTAAGTGAAAACTTCACAAGCATTCCAAAACAAATTTGTATACCTTTTTTATAAGTTTCACATTTCGAAATAAGGTCTTATAATAATATATTTTAAACTTCATAATCTATAACTAATTATATTTAATTATTTCAGGATATTTTTTGGAGGTAGTAATTCTAATAATGTTAGAAATTGAAATCGTTATATTTTGTTCAGATAGTTATTAACATAGGGCACAATGTGCAATTGGATGAGTAGTCATTATTTCCGTGATGAAATTCTGAAGAACTGAAAAACCAAACCGAAAATATAAACGAACGCTTTGGTGGTTCCTGATGTTCACATTTGTAGAAATACTTGCTGAGCCACTCTCAAAAGTGCTTTTCCATAAGTGCCTTTAATCGTAAACATGTTATTAAACCACTTTTCATGGCTTAGATATGTATTTCATATACAACATTAATTGTTAGGTGAGAGACTCAGCCAGTGCCATCCAATCCGTGCGTCATAAGTGGATTACATTTTAAACAGACAAATAAATTTTATAAAATTTGAAGTAACTTACTTGTAAAATTGACTGTGGAACGTCAAAAAGATCACGAACTGTCATTTCTTGACACCTTAACTTATGACAATAATGGTCACTTCCCATGTTAAATATGCCATAAAAAAAAAACATTCAATGGTTTGTACTTTAATTTTGCAAGTTTTATACCAAATATCTTTTAAAAACTTGATTATTTTTTTTCATTGTATATATAAAATATCTCGTACTCATGAAGCTTTGCATAAAGAATTCAATAACAATAAAGATTCTTAAGTAAAACTAGTTGTCCTATCTATGTCATTGACAGAATACTTCGTAATTATTTGAATAAGCGAAATTTTAGTAAACCATCTAGATTTAAAGTTCCGAAATATCCTGTTGTTGTTACTATGTCATACATGGATAAAGTATTATTTGGTTATTAAAATCAGTTAAGAAACGTAGTTTAAAAAGTATATGCTCAAATATAACTGAGACGTGTTTTGAAATCTAGTTATTGCCTACATTTTTTTTCAGATTTAAGGGCTGTATTCCTGCTTTAAAATCATCAAACATAGTTTATAAAATTACTTGTAAGCAAAGCTATGTCTTCTCGACTAAAAGATAATTGTTAACTCGTGTAAAATAAAATGCAAATTTTAGATCCCTTATAAAATCGAGTTTACTTGAACATGCCCTAGGAGAATGTAACCTTGTTGTCCATTCAGATGTTTTTAAAGATCTTAGTGTACTTTGGTGACAGATTTTCTTGTAGGCAGATTTTGTTAAACAAGACCGATGTCTGTAGGTTTACTTTCTTCTTAGAATTCTTCTCAAGAAGTCAATAAGCCGTCTTAACGTTGTTAGAACAGCGGGTAAAAGTTGTAGCTAGTGATGAGTTGGCCGACGCGTTTCGAATGCATTCTGCATCAATTATCAACAACTACAACAACAGGACCTTATCGACATAAATCCAGCCTTGCGGGACCAACTACGCGCGGAAGAGGAGAGTCAATGGCAACTCCGTCGACTTGCTGGTATAGCGAACCATTGATATGTTGAAAAGGTGACTTCGTAGTACAGGCGAGTAGAAGTTCAGCATTATTTCTTCAGGTATTTTGGGTGGAGACATGG